GCGCCGCCGCCGCCGCCGCCGGGGCGCGGGGCGCGGGGCTCGGGGTCCCAGGCGGGGCGCGGGGAGGGCGGGGGAGGGGCGCGGGCGGGCCGGGGCCGGGGGCCGGGCTCACGGGGCGTCCTCTCCCCGCAGCTGCTGCCCCGACGCACCGACTGGACCGGGAAGGAGCATCCCAGGACCTACCAGAATCTGGTGAGACATTCACGTCGCGGAGCAAAGAAACTTTTCCCCGAGTCGAATAAAAATTGAATTTCCCGCAATTTTTTTAGAGACAAAAACTTGGCCCCAGAACCTGAAAGCTCCGAAGGCCACGGGGAGGGTTGGGAGGCCGGCGCGGGGGTTGCGGGGGTCAGTGGCCGCGGAGACCCGCACCCCGGGGCCGAAGGGGCTGCCGACAATTTATTTGTGATATTTTGTTAATGTGCTAGAAATAAAGATACGTCATGAGTGTTGTGCAGTGCAAGGCCGGAGGAGGAGGGGCCGGCGCGCGCGTCCGTGCGGGCGCGGGGGCGCGCGCGAGGCGGCGGCGGCGGCGGCGGCGGCGGCGCGAGGAAGGAGGGCGCGCTCGCTCGCCTGCTCGCTCTGCACGCGCGCTCGGCTCGGCTTTCTCCTGCCGCACACAATAGCTGGTGACTAACTGCTCCGAAGTGGCATTAGCATTTCACAAGCCGCCTATTCAGCCTCTGCGGAACCGTGGCAAGACGTTATTTTTTTCCTCTTCCGTTTTTGTGGCTTTCCTTTACCTTCAGAGCTAGGTTTTTTGTTTTTTTTTTTTTGTTTTTTTTTCCGTCGGAGGGGTTCGGCCGGCTGATGGTCGTTGGCCAGCGGGCGCATCTTGCATCTACGGAAGCTTTTTTCGCAGAAGTGTAAAGCGTGTAACACCCTAAAGCCAGAAGTTTAACAGGCTTTTTTTCATTTTGCTAATTTTCGCGTTAGGCCCCTCGTTAAATTAAAAGCTGCTATTGGAGGCCCCTGAAGAGTGTTGATTTTTTTACACGTACACTTACTGTGGAGTGGCGATTGGCAAGTAAATGTTTTTCAGTTTTACAGCGGGATGTATTTTGTTAGTCGCTTGAAAAATACCTCTCTTAATTTTGTGGGTTTCCGAATTGAGTATTTTAGTCATTTCTGAAAATTGATTTCTAAAAGTGGTCCTGACCCCCTTGAGTATTGTGAATGGAACAGTGGGGTATTTGTATTCGGGAGTTCTGCTTTCCGTGTTAATTTCTCCTCCTCCTCTGATTTAGGTTGTATGCGTGTGTGTGTGATGTGTGTGTTAAAGCAGTCACTGGGGCCCATCGAGCCTTTGAAATTTATGCAGTGCATTGATTTTTCGGAGACATGTTTGCAGCTGATGTTTTAAGATAGTTATAATGTTACTTCAAGAGGGCTTCTGAAAGGATCAGGAAGTTTCAGCTAGCTTTGAACGCCTTCAGCGAGATTGAGGAAGGCATGACATGGTTTTTGATGGCTCCTGTTTCATTTGCATATAGGACATCTAACTTTTGTGTCTAAATGTGTTATGATTTAGTATAGGTTGTTGGTAAGTGCTCACAGCTATTGAAATAAGCAAGCGTACTTAGGTTTAGTTAAATGAATAGAGAGTTAACAGCGCATTCATTTCCATACTGTTAGTTTTTCAAGTACGTAGTGATTTCAACTAGTCTTATTCAGTACTTGGCTAAAATGAATGGAGTTTGAAGCAAACTCCAAGATTCAGTAACAGCAGTGTTTAATTTTTTGGTTTGTAAATACTTGACAAAATCTTAAGTGGATTTCCACGTATTTCTTGTTATTTAAAGAATTATCATAAATATTATAATATTCCATTTTTAAGAACTGGACAGACAGAACTCATCTTTGCCTCTCTTTTAACCACACCCATCTTTGCGTTTTATAAAACCCCACAAACCCCAAGTCACTGAAGGTTGCTGTGTTCTTTTTAACGTGGAGACTATTGGTAACGCTATTTTTATGTTTTTTAAATGAAGCGGCCAATGGTATCTGGCCAAGATATGAGAATGTCTAGTCCTTGTAGGAATATCATTTTGTTTTCCAATAAAAACAGGGTTACCAGTGTTTTTCAGCTTTTTTTGAGCGAGTTTCTTACCTCTCATATATTAGTAAAATGAGTTTATATTCCTAGTCTCTTTATCAGACTTGATTTAGGATACCATAAGCAGTGTCTTTATCAGTGTGTTATTTATCAAAATCCACCTATTTTGTATGGAAGTGTTTTTTCTTGCTTAGAGTATTTTCAGACCTTTTTACCAGAGCAGTCATGTTGGCACGCTCATGAGATAGTTAAGAATTCTCATTAGACTTCAGGGTTCTCTGGCTCATTTTCTCATTTCGTTCGTTCAGCATATTACTCACTCTGTATCAGCTGGATCCGAGGCACCATTTGAGGTACTTTCATACCCATCGAACTATATATCGAGGTGTGTGGTATTTGGTTTAATTTTGGTTGACTTTGTTTGACATTTAGTTAGGCCTAAAGATATTTTAGAACACTAGGTATTTAAGTACGTTTTTGTTTAATAGTAGGATTTTGAAATTTTATGGTGAGCTAGGTGAGCACATGCAAAGTCTCTTGTACATCATTCTCTGTTGTCTTAATTTATTCCTGAGACTGAAAAAAAATTTTATTTTGTGTCCTATTAAATTTAATTTACATAACGTTGGTTTGAAGATTATTTTGGTGAGTGAAGCCAAAGTAATAATTATTGTTTGTAGTTTCAGTAGTGTTTACCTCTACCTGGAAATTTTGTTGCTTATGTTAACCGATAAATTGGGTAATATTTTAAATGGTTTTAAATGGGAGAATTTGTATGTCAAATTGAAATTTCTAGAGAACCTCAAATTACAGCAATTTAGGATGGGGTAAAATATTTGTATTTGTGAGCTTAAAACAAGCATAGATCAGCATCTGCAGTCAGGCTGCAGATAAAATCACAGTGGTTGAGTTTTGACCAAGCAGAAAGTGGAGTTTTAAGAGCAGTTTAAAAGTTTACAGAGTTGAAATAAACGTATTATTTTTAAGTGTCATTGGTAAAGGTATTGTTAAACAGGATTATGGTTATTGCTGTCTAAAGACTTAAAACATTTTTAAAAGTGGATGGAATTTGATAGGAAGTTAAAGGGTTTAAAAATTTTTTTGGCTCAGTGGTATATGTTTAATCAGATTTTCTATTTTTAAAAAGTATGAGGTTGCTTTTAAAGTAAAAGGGCATTTTTTAAGCTTTCATTAGAATTCTTATTTTTTTAAAAGGACTCAAGCGTAAGGAGGCAACTTTACAGAATAAGAAAACTAATTTTTGGACAAAGAGAAAGCTTTGTCATTTATTTATTTCTTAGTTTGAATAGTGAAATTAGTTGGTTTATTAAGTTTAGCTCTCTAGTTGTCACCTTAAGTAGTGGCGACATAATTTAAGTTGCATATTTATGAGATCTTGAGGCGGAATTTATAAGCGTTTTTTGCCAGATTTGGGACTCTGATTACATTTCTTGCCTATGAGGCATTATTTTCCAAAACTGTGTTCTTGTTTTGCTAATCTGTTATGATATAATATTATTTTTTTGTAGTGGTATTTGCTTTTTAAAAAATGATTCCACTTTATTAGAAATCTTTGTATTCAAGGGAAAGGATTGGGAATCAGGAGACTGCGGGTTGTGATTTTAGCCCTGCCTACAGTTAGCCTGCAGGTTAACCTCTGGCAAGTCAGGAATTTCTCTGGGCCCCTGTTATCTCTTTCTTGTCAGATAAGCGAATTGAAATCTGATTTTTGACTAGAAGTCGCAATGCATTGTTTCTAAGAGCTCAACTTTTTCATTTTGGAGTTTCATTATCTAAAACACAGAAAAGTAGACTTAGACAAATCATGCATTTTAGTAAATTGTATAAATGCTTTTTGTAGTGCTGTTCTTAGTTTGTAGAATCATTTCTCCTTGAAAAGATGAAGAATTTTGAGACACAACCACTTTGTAGACTACCTCTTTATAATTAATATGTTTTCACCATGGTTTAAGTACTGGTTTTCATAAATTATTGGCTGTCTTAAATTCAGAGATGAATAGGAACCATAAATAGGATTTTCTTAAGTGTTTATTTAGAGTATGCTTATTAATGTGAAAGTTAAGGTATAAAACCTAGGAGACCAGTTTTAGAAAAAAAAAAAAGATAACATATTAAATGTTTTTGAATCAGGGATTCCCATTCCCATTAAAGATAACATAGTACTGTCAAAATTTAACCAGTATCAATTTTGGAGGGGGGTGGCATATAATGAATTAAATGTGTAGTAGACTTATTTCCTTTTTTAATAGAGTATCAGTGAAATAGTAAGCTTTGCTTGGTAGTCTCCATAACACGGTTTTCGTGTCTCATAATCATTATAATGAAGAAAAAATGTTAGGCGTGAAGGGAATAGCACATATTGAAGGGCTGAAGTAGGCAAATCTTCATCCTTTCTTATACATGCAATTATTCTATTGATACTTATACCATTATTTTAAAGAGTTTGAGGCATTTACAAAAATTTTAAAATAAATACCTGTTAAATTCTTAATACTCCTGAATAATTGTAAAGTGGCATGAATATAAAGGGGGAGTTGGATTATCCCCTCCCAAACTGCACAGTGGTGTTTTATGATTGTTATGAGGCAGAAAAGTACTGTTGGAGTCTGTTTCCCAATCTGTACAATGGGTTAATAATAGCTCCTACTTTGTAAGATTATGAGAGTAAAACCTGACTGGTAAAAATCAAATACTATGTAAGGGTTTGTGTTTGCTATTATCAGAACTTTAGTAGTAGTAGAAAGGTTGTTCCTACTATAGCTTTCTAACATTGTATAAAAATTTAAGAAAAAACATTTTTATTTCAGAAACAAGTATGCATAACTTTCTGAATATAGTAGTTGCCATATAAAACCGGCTGCTTAAAACTTTAGAAGGTACTAGTAGTATAGTTACTTTGTAGATTCAAGAACAAAACAATTAAGCCTAAGATACAAAGAAAAAAGTATAGTAAGTATCAAAAATAAATCATTTTTGAAACATTGTGGGTAGATTTCTAGAAAAATTTTGTTGGCCTGTATAGTGATTCTAACTATGACTGTATTTGTGGAACAGTTAACATTAAGAAATGTTTGGGTGGTTGAAATATGCAGAATTGATTAGAGGATATATGAAGCTCTTTCTTTTGGTAATGATCAGATGGCACTTAGGAATATGTGAAGGGAGCTTGGCTGTTGCATCTGGTTCCTTCTGTACAGAGATTTTTGTAATTTAAAATCATCACAATAGTTTGTATTTTTGGAAATAGGAGGAGATACTTTGTTTTGTAATGTGGCTTAAAGGTATTTCTGTTTTAAGCAGAGTTTTAGAAGGACCGTTTTAAATTTATTCTTAAGTGAGTATTTGGTTAAATAAATCCTATGAATGTCAGTCTTTTAGTCCATACAGAATTTCTTTGTCAGATAGACAAGTTTTTTGTTTCTTTTGTCTAGAAACTTTTCTCACCTCTTGCAGCCATTCTTCTTTTTCCTCAATTTTGTGGTTATCTATCGTATCACTACAGAATTATAGCAGATAAAATTGTATTTTACCCAACTTATTTTGGACAATACCAGGTAGGTGAATTTCATTCTTACTAGTAGTTTCCACATAGAAGTTTTAGAATTCATAGAAAAATATCCCTAGTACTAAGCAAAGTGGCCATTAGTTAACAGAGTACTAAGTACATACATTTAGAATAATTTCGTATTTTAATGTACTTCCCTTTCAGGAAAGAAAGTCAAGCATTAAAATGAGTGTATTAGAGGAAAAGATTTTA